TGAATAGACTTCTGCAAACATCCACAGGTATAAAATCTCAAATATGTGTTTTTAAAAATGCAAAAGAAAAGTAGAGCATGATCCTATTTAAGGAGAGATTTCTTTTTTACACACACTAACACGTACTCATTTATAAAGCATTAGCAATAAAAGTGTCATCAGGAATGATATGTACACACTGCAGAATGCTGGTCATCTCAGCAAAGGCAAGAGCAGAGAGGGGAGGAATACACATATAGCAAATACTGGAAAGATCAATATTGCTTTTATCCTGATGGTGAATAAAATAAGGCTTGTTATGTTTTCTGTCTTGCCTTACATTTGAACTATGTCATAGTCTGAAACTTTTCAATCAAAGGAAAGGTACTTTTTCTGGCAAAAGAGCTCATCTCTGAAGGGAAAGCAACAACTGAATTGGAGAGGAAATTTTGGAGTAAGACTTGGCTAAATTTTTCAGTAAAAGGCCAGATAGTAAATATTTTCAACCTTGTGAGCATTATGATCACTGTCTCCATTGCTCATTCTGCCCTTATAGCACAAATCAGCCATAGACTAAAAGTAAATGAACGTGCATGGCAGTGTCCCAGTACAATTTCATTTGCACTAACAGATTTCAGGTTGGATTTGGCCTTTGGGTCATAGTTTGCCTCAGTTTACACTTGCTGGGAGGTAAGTGGTTCCTGCAGATAAGCAGTCACGGGCTTTGAGGATGATCATGAAGTTATGAAAATCCCACATCTGTCTCTGGAGTGAGCTGGGGAGTTAAAACACTACCTTCTCATCCTAGGAATCAAAATTATTCAGGAAGTACCTTTAGTTGTTGAGGCTGTGGCAGTAGAAAACTCATAAAAATAATCCCCAGTGTTTAACATTGTTGGGGGTTTTGGTTTAGATGTTTTGTTTGGTTTTGAGTGTTTTCACTTGAGTGGTGAGAGCCAGTTTATTTCACATGCACCTATGAATATTTAGCCCTGAGTGATTTCTTTCAACCTTCTAATGATGTGCTGTAACCCTTAGGTCACAGAAAATTTTCGGCTCCCATCCTGTTTACCACTCCTCCACAGCCCAGTCTTGCCTTACACTGACCTTTAAACCACAACAGGGTCACTCTGGAAGGGAGAGCAAGAGTTCACCGCACCTCTGACCAGTGACCTTTCCTCATATGCATGTACCTGTTGGAATGGGTGATCCGGCGGTGCTGTGCCCTTTCCTAGAAATGAGGAAGCTTTCCTGATCCATTGCAGAGCTCCTCTTCAGGTCTTCATATGTCTAGAAAGGGCTGACAGAGGAGGGGTTGTGACTATTTAGCTGCCTAGACACTAGACTGCTTTGGCCTGGACAGCCCTTGTTCTTGCATCTACAAAAGCTACACCCAAGGACGTTCACTTCAGAGGAAAGTCCTTCCACTACTGACTGCTCTTGTAGCATAGTCAACTTTGGCCAAAGCAGTCTGCTTAGGCCATCAGTATTTACAGCCCTGGCACCCCTTGCAAATTGCCAAAAATGTCAGGCCAGAAGGGTGGTTAATAAAACCAACAGAATTTATTTATGAGCTTCTTCTGATACAAGCCAAACACAAGATGTGAAAGTAAAAAGAAGTATCCTCATGCTGTCGTTCCTGGCAGTCGTGACAACATTCCTGAGAGGTTAATTGTATGCCAGCCATTTCTCCAAATAGCAAAGGGATCCAGGACAGAGCAGGACTCTTCAGGGATAAACTCAGGTCTGGGAGGCTTGTGTGTGTAGGGAGTTTGGCAACATGAAGACAGAGGCATGTGCACATTTGCTCCTGCAGTGAACCTATACAAGCAAGAGCTGGGGAGTGCCACTGGTCACAGCTGACTTAACTGCTTGAAGTAAAGAGGACACATCCTAACAGTCACTGTGGCAGAAGCACCTCTTCCCTGCTTACTTCTGTTGAGATGCATGATCCTTGGTGAGCTTGCTGCCACCATGTGCGAAGGAGAAAAGAAATGAGGAAGGAGAGGGAGAAGAGCCTGACTTGGCTCCTGTCACCTGGATGTCATCAGAATCTTTTCCTTGTCCTGAAAACTGGAGGTTTGCTCTTATTTCCAGGCGGCCTGTGAGACATGACTTCTAGGGGTGTGCGAGCACCACGTGTTCTGAAACTGATTGAAAGCATTCAGTTAATGCCTGTTGTTAATCACATTTGATGCTGCTGACACCAAGAGTTCTTGTCCCAAATTGATTTGAGCATGTTTTAGCTCTATTCTCCCCCTGATAGCAATTTGAGCCTAAGGAATCAGAGCCTCTGCAAGCTTCTCCACGGTGCATGTGAAGCTGTGGCAGTGACCCGAAGCTGAGGACCAGGCGGACTCTGTGAGCCTTGCTTGGCGGGACCCACAGACTCTTGGGTGTGTTCATTCAGAATGTTAATAATTTCAGAAATTATTAAAATGGAACCCAAATACTTTCTTTTTTAAGAGCCTATGGAGACCACAAATCATTCTACAAACACAATAAGCGATGTATGTTGAGCAAACCCAATACTCAGTGTTTGCCACAAGTCTGCTGGAAGCGTGGTCACTTTCATAGGACCCTGCGCATGTGGAACTTAAAGATTCAGTCATTGTGTTGGACAAAAGGTTTTCACAGGAAGGAGAATGAGGGGAAAGAGGTGGAGGAGGAGGGAGAACAAGAAGAGGAAGATGAAAAAAGAAGAGGAGGAAGAGAAAAGGAGAAGAGAGAGTAGAGGATGAGAAGGAGAGGAAGAAGGGAAACTTATTTCCCCCTCTCTGCTCTTGGCTTTTTATGCCTTTTTCCCAGTGTCACACACACACACTACCCAACTTCCATGCATTTGTTTGGCAGTTTCAGCACCTGGAGGAATCCTACTTGGATTTTAGAGGACTCGTTTAATTATTTATTCCTAGACTCCTCCTGCTTCTCCTCCAAGCACAGCCCATGCTTTTTCATTATACTTTCACATCCCTTAGAGTCAGGAGAACTAGAGTTAGTCAGCTTTCTCTTATTGCAACAAAATACCTGAGGTAATCAACTCAAAAAGAGGAAAGGTTTATTTTGGCTCAAATCTTGGAGGTTTCAGTTCATGGTTGATTGATCCCATTGCTTTTGGGACTGCAGTAAAGCAGAATATCAGGGCAGGAATGTGTGGCAAAGGAAGCTGTTCACCTCCCGCTGGCTGGGAAACAAAGGAAAAAAAAAAGAGAGAAAGGGCCCAGGGTTCCCAAATCTCTTTCAAGAGTACCCCCACCAATGACCCAAGTCCTCCTGATAGGCCCCATCCCTTAACAGTTTCACCACCTTCCAACAATGCCAAGCCAAAGACAAAGCCTTTACCATGTAGAACTTTGGGAACATTTAAGATCCAAAGCGTATCAGGGAGATATTGGAATTTAAAAAGTCTACCACAGCACTCACTGATGAATTAATACTTCACCAATAGTTGATGTACAGAGCCTCTTATTGCTCTGACCTAGTCTAGTAACAGTGACAGCAAAAATAGTGTTAGCATAGCCATGCTACACTCATGGAGTCCCTGGAGTCCAGAGCTGCGATGCCTGGATTCAAGTATTTTACCTACTGGCTTTGTGATCCTGATCCTGTCACTACCTCAGTTTCCTCATCCAGAAATGAGGGAAAGTAACAGCTTATTTCATGGAACTCTGATGATTAACCCTATTCACACATGAAAGGCAACCAATGTATACATGTCTGATGAGTACTGAGAACCAATAAATAGTATTTATTCTACTATTAATACCTATATTAGCTTAGAATTTGAAGTTTCTTATAATTAATATTAAATTTTCAGTCATTTTTATACACTTACGTATAACAAGTACAATATAACCAATGTATACTATGTAGACAAATAATGATAACAGTGTGCACGTTAATGAATTGAAATCTGTGCAGTTCTTTCTATGGATAGTAAAATACAAAGAGAAGGAATGAGTAGAGGTGACAAGAATGATGCTGATAACAGGGATCACGTTAGGAAGCACAGCTGTGAAATGACATGAGAGTCATCTCTTTTCCTAGGTGTCATTAGTCCTTGATTATTCAGGAAAATACAAAAATTTTAAAAATTTGAATCGAACTGTGAAGTCCATCTTTCAGTTAAGTCAAAGTTTGGTTTTTCCTCTTACCAGACAGGTTTTAGGAGGATTTCTCTCCAAATCTCATTTTTGTTGAACTTAAAACATAGTCTACTGATACTCACACTGGGAAAAAGCCTTTGCGTCAGCATTAGATGATTTTCATGTGGCCATGGAGATTTCTTAACTCCTGCTGTGAATCTAATGTAGGGCTCCTTCTATGTGAAGATGTTAAATGCTTAGGGCTGTTTACTCTCTGTATGTCATAAAGAGCCCAGAAGAAATTATTTTCTCAGCCATGTGCGTTTCTAACTTTAGTACTCATTCTTAAAAGCCTTGTGAAGGTTCCCTTTACTTTTAACTGATTAATTTTTCTCATCCTACCCATGATTAACTTTGATGGCCCTGAGGAGGATGCCAGGTCTCCCGTGGTTACTGCAAACCCGGGCAGGTGACTCAGACTCTGGGTCTCAGTTTACTTCACCATGAAGAGGATCCTAAGATGCTCCAACTGGGGGTCAAAAGATGTGCATGCAAAGACCTGCACTGGCCTGTATTAAAACACAACACGGGTTAGGTAATGACCTTTACTGGTACTTCTCCCGGCTGAGTATTCCTCACTGCATTTGCTTTAATTTTTTTTTTTTTTCTGTGATCACTCGATTTATACGTTTTCTAACAGAGGTAAGAATTGCTTCCTGACCTCTCTGCCTTCTGGGCGCTCTTCAGGGTAGCGTCACAACTGTGTCCGAGAGCACAGTTCAGTCCTCTCTCCCTTGAGCTGCTCCCAGGCACCGGCAGTCAGCCAGCCCCACCTGACTGCGCCTCCCAATGAAGCCAGCACGCGTTCAGAGGGAGCCGGGACGCCGCGCTCCGTCGCCTCCCTCCCCACCCGCTGACTCTCTCCTCTCGTTGCAGAATGTTCTGGAAGCTCTCTCTCTCCTTCTTCCTGGTGGCCGCGCTGGTGAGGGTGGCTGAAGCCCGGAAGAACCGGCCGGCGGGCGCCATCCCCTCTCCTTACAAGGACGGCAGCAGCAACAACTCGGAGAGATGGCAGCACCAGATCAAAGAGGTGCTGGCCTCCAGCCAGGAGGCGCTGGTGGTGACCGAGCGCAAGTACCTCAAGAGTGACTGGTGCAAGACGCAGCCGCTGCGGCAGACGGTGAGCGGCGAGGGCTGCCGCAGCCGCACGATCCTCAACCGCTTCTGCTACGGCCAGTGCAACTCCTTCTACATCCCGCGGCACGTGAAGAAGGAGGAGGAGTCCTTCCAGTCCTGCGCCTTCTGCAAGCCCCAGCGCGTCACCTCCGTCCTGGTGGAGCTCGAGTGCCCCGGGCTCGACCCGCCCTTCCGACTCAAGAAGATCCAGAAGGTGAAGCAGTGCCGCTGCATGTCCGTGAGCCTGAGCGACTCGGACAAGCACTGAGCCGGCCGGGCGCAGCCCCGCGGCGTCCTCGCCCCGAGCCCGA